GAAGCTTATTGGCTGTCTGAAACAGAGGGAATCAACCTGCGCAATAAGGCCGCGGAAAGGTTTCTCGTTGATTTCTTTGAGTGGTTTTTCACTGAGCCATGGAAGTGGGACAATGAAAATATATATTAGTAAAAATAACATGGATGACACTGAAAAATGCTTCTTCTTCTTCTTTTTTTCCTTCTTTAATTTTGTCGGTTAAGTCTGTGCAATTAGAATTTTTTTGATTTCTTACAGTAGCTTGAATGTTTAAAAAAATAAAGTTTAGGGACAAAAATGTATAATAAATATTAGTTTATAAAAAAAGGTATGTATAAAACTAAAATTTAAGAACTTAAAAAAAAAAAAAAGTAGCTGTAAAAATTAACAGATAAAATTAATAGAATGACAAAAAAAATATTTTTTATAATTAAAAGATGAAAATAATATAAAAATAATTTATGAGCTAAAAATATTTAAAATTAAAAGTTAAAGAATAAAATTTGATATTTAACCATGACAATACAAGTCATTTTTTGATTATTATCTCATTTTTTGAATAAATTATAATCATATCTACTATATTAGGGGGATGGGGAAGGGGATCTTCAGGGAATCCAACATTCAACACGAAATGGTTTTTGTATTAACAGTAAAATAACAAATCTCTTGGTCCAAGTAACAAATCAATTGATTAAAGCATAAGGAATCATTTTTTTTATTATTATCTTTAGGAAAAGAAACTGCAGAAGCAAATGGACCAATTTTCAAATTTTCATCAGACAAAAATTTAATATATATATTACAATAAAATAATAATGTATATCAATTTTAACTTAAAAATAATGAAGCTCTAGCCCTTAAATTTTCTTATTTCGTTTAATTAAATTCTATTCTATCCTATAATTTTACCCCTTCTACAAGTTTCCACTCCCTCGCTGACAGCTTTAAGGACGGAATTGAAAAAGACAAGTGCTGATTCTTCATTATCATGCAAAAAATGTCAGTCACCCTTCTGCAAGTTTTCAGCCCCTTGTCGAACGGCTGTGAGGACGGAATTGAGAAAAACAAATGCTGGTTCTCTATTATCATGCAAAAAATGTCAATGCTTTATAGTTTATACCTACGGGTTGCCTAAAAAGAGTGATCGTGTTACTCTGTTGCCACTAAAAGAGAAAATTGTTAAGGAGGATGAGATTTGCAAAAGGGCAACCGTCGTCACTGTTGCCGTCGGTGAAAAATGATTACAACTTTCAGCGAACTGCAATAGGCGTAAAATTATGGAATAGAATTTAATTAAATGGAATGAGGTAGTTTAAGGATTGGGTCTTCAAATTTCTTTTGAAAATTGGGATTAATATATATTATCTTTTTATGATAATATCTAAAGTTTAAGTTAAATTTTATATAAAAAAAAATTATGGCTATTAACAATAATATTATGATCACTAAATCTATAAAATGTTGATTCTGTTTAATTTGACTCATAAAAATAGCTAATAATTATAATTATTAATTAATAACTGATAAAACTATTGATATTTATTAATTAATAAATTAAAATCAATAAACAAATTGATGTCTATTTAAAAAAATCTCAAAATGTTAGTGGTCTTAACAATATTAATATTTATAATAACCACAACCATAGAAAAACTCCTTATATAATTGTAGTTTTGAGTTTTTTGTTTTAGTTTCTATAAATTTTACTATTCAAAATAAAAAAAACTCATTTATTTTCATATATTTTTGCAACATATTATTATAATTATTAAAAAAATAAAAACAAAAATAATTTTATATCATGAATCAATTCATTTTAGATATTTCACCTTCTACACCTTTAATCTCCTCACTCATGCGTTTAGATACTTAATATAATAGGTAGTAACTCCCTCACTTCTCCATGCATCTAATGATGATTAACTCTTATTTAGAGGTGATTACAACATCACTTTCTAATGCCATTAGAATGCTAATAAAAGCGTACCTCATAACCCTTATATTAATAAGTGATTAATTCTTACAATCTTTCATTTAGTGAGTGTTTAATCTTTATAACTCTTACCACTCATTAATCTTTATATATAGAACTTGTACTCTTACAAATGTGTGGTAAAGAAAGAATAGAAATATAATTTATTTTTATACTCTCTCACTTTAGCTTTTTAATTTTTTCTTCTTTTAATTGTTTTTTCCTTTATTTTACAATGTTTTAATGCTATTAAATAAGTAAATATTTTTAGTTGTTAGTATTGAAAAAACAAAATTTTAACTTTTGATTCTTACTTTTAGTTTTTATAAATTACAAAATTTTTAAAAATCAAAAATAAAATATTTAAAATTATAACCATACTAAAAAGTGTTTAAATTAATTATTTTTTAATAATAAAAATTACAATTTTTCTTTTCAAATTTTGCTTAAAAAATTATCTGTATTTACTTAGTTCAACATATTTTTTTATACACTTTTGATTTAATCATTAAAAATATAATATAAATATAGTCGATTCAATTAGTTCCTACATAATATATACATGATTATATTTATAAATTTATTTATTTTTTATTTTATACTAAAAATTAATAATTTTTTAATAAATATATTATATAATATGTTAAATTAAAGTATATACAAATCACTCTCCATTTTGCTTATGTAATCGGTTTATCAACCACATCCAACTCGGCGTAACACAGACGAGCTTTTATCACCTCCAGGTAGCTTCTGAATGTTTTCTCATCTCCTTCTCAATGACTGCAGCAAACGTCTTTTTATTTTTATTTTCTGACGTTCCTTTTCGACTTTAATCACGCCCTATTTTCAAGTGGCATCACCGCTGTTTCGCTAATTCGACACTGGATTTCATCTCTTCTCGGCCAACGCTGTTGTTCCTCTGGTTTCTGGCAACAAAAAGCTATCTCTCCTGCTTCGGTCTATCTCAGATCCAGTGCCTTTGACACCGGTTGTTGCTTCTCCATTCTACGGTGACCCATGACACCAGGAGCTTGCCGCCGTTTGGGTTCTAACCAGTTTTGGCTGCTTTCAGTTCTCTTATATATGCAGGGTAGATTTTGTCAAAAGTTGTAAATACTTTTGCAGTTCTCGAGTTGTACAAAGGGTCACACATCGAAAACGGAAATTCACAGTGCATTTGGACTATGAAATAACTTGAAGAAACAGTTTGGGAAAATGCATGAAATGATCACATACCAACATTTCAACTTTCAGCATCATAGTATCGAATTCATCAGTCAAATGAGCGAGAGAAGTGCGACAATGAAAATATATATTAGTCAAAATAAGGGGTATATCATTGATACCAAGCAGAATTCACGAATATTTGCCGCCCTATATCACTTTCAATGGTAACCAAGAACAAAATCAACAACAAAAGGAGAATTAATCAAAACAAAAAGGAAAGATTTCTACAAAACTAGGTATTTAGTGTCTTAGTGGGTGAGATAACGGTTTTGGGGGAGGAAGCAAAATAAAAATAAATAAATAAAAAGGACATTTTGTGGAAATTTCTGCTGCTGCATAATTATGCCTTTACTTCAAGGGAAATAAAAAGCAGGGAGGTCACATTGGAAAGATAAAATTAGATAAAAAGCATTTTCTATGCTTTTAATTATTTTTCCCATCAAACATAATTACACATAGGCATAGCAAACACACAATATACAACTTGAGCAGCACATGATTAAATCCCCCGCTTTCACATACGATAAGCAGAGGGCTCTATATCCAAGTTACTGCAATGGGACTTCGGACTGTGTATTTCCCAGACACCCATGTCAAAGACCCAAAAGATGAGCTATCAGTTTCAATGATTTGTCTTATTGCAGTGAAACTCACCTTGTATCTCAGTTTCTGATTATGCATCTTAAAACTTAAAATGCTAGGCTTCACCCTGACTGATATTCCTTTGGGTTCTAGTACCTGCACTTTATAAGTACCATTTGGAGGATTTCCAACATTTGTGACAGTTCTTCTGTAGGTAATGGTAACATTATGGGCATCACTCTTGAAACGCATTGCAAAGGAAGGGTAGTTCA